AATGCTACCAGCTGGCTCGACACCCTAAAACCCTACACCCTAAACCCTATGTCCGATCGTGTCGTGGGGATTTTGGATTCAGGGTGTCGGATGCAGGGCTTCGGGGTGCTACGGTCACTCGCAGCAGTAAGGCCCAAGTAGACATTAAGGCAAACAAGCCCGGTATCATTGCTATCGCGGTGATAACCATCTCCTGTTACTACAGTTTTTGGCTGCTGATACTAGGTTCCTCGTTTTCGTTGCGGCGCTCGTCGTCGTAGTTTGTACATCCTCTTGATGCCATCACTGGTCAACTGCACTGCTGCCGCCGTTGCCGCATCGACGCCTACACAATCGATATGGGCCATCAAGCGTCAAGGATTTCCTCCTGAGCCCGCGTCGCCAACTGCGGTACTAGGCTAGATGCACAAGGCAATACCCAGTGCAGAAACTACCTCGGGCAAGCCCCCGTGGCATCCCGTGGCTTGCCAGGGCTCGAGAAGTTGTGTCATGAAGCCCATTCCCTCTGCTTTCGTCGGCTTTACAGGTTTGCATTGAATGACGAGTGTGAGGCATGAGTCCAGAACGTAAGATGCACAAGGTGGCTTCCGAGCTACACTTTGTGGCTGTCTTGGTGCAGGATCTGGGGCTTCGACTCTGACAGCTCAGAACTGCAGCATCTTGATTTTTGCAAGCTCATGATTCAGGCGAAAATCCGAAGCCCCCTTTCGACTTCTGGCCAAGAATCAGGGTGCGTTCGTCGCCCCTGTGGCCTGCAAAAGCCCTTTCACGTAATAGCAACTAGCCACCATTCACTCTCTCTCTCTCTCTCTACATATATATATATATATATGTGTTTATTTATCTGTTTTTTCATTTATAGATATATATATATATATATACATATATATATATATAATGCATACGTCAACAAGCCCGCATTGTGGAGAAAGCCTAAACCCCAAAAAACTTATGCTCCTCTCTCGAAGGCCTGGTTCGCTCCAGCTTCGTGCAGAGGAGCAGCCGTAAGCTGTGCCTGGACTCGGGGTTTCGGATTTAGGGTTCGTTTTGCGTTGTGCAGGGTACTATACAGGCCTGAATAACTAGAATAGGGTTTTGGGGGCTCACATTAATCCCTAAAACCGCTTTGTTGAGCAGGGCTCTACAGCTATGCCTGCCCCTCACGGAGGAACGATCGGATCCTCCTTGTAAAGAATTGAATAATAAATAATAAACCCACAAGGGCGACATGCTGAAGCTCTGACCAGACTTAGATGAAAGCAAACCCACATGAAACTCGAACAAAAATCTGAAAATCTCCGTCCCTTTTGGCGAAAGCAGAAAGCCAGGAAGTCCTTGCAAGCCGTCGGCCCACCCCAACAGGCCAAACAAACCTTCCAGAGTCTACAGTCCCGAACATCCCCGAATCCTAGGTCTAGGGGTTTACGCTCTCACAACTCGGGCAAGCGAGGCGAAGTTCCACATGCTGGTCGGCGTGATACTAAGTGCGTGCCAGGGCTTAAGGCTTTCTAGGGTTTAGAGTCCACCCCACCCTAAGCCCCTAAATCCAGATATCCCCCCATGCAGACGGATGCTTGTAGATCCATCGTAAGACTGCTCGAACTATGACTATACAAGCTGTTGTCAGGCCCTAAAAAATCCCCGAAAAAGAGACTAGCCCTAAACCCGAAACCCCTTAAAGATAAGAGAAACCTCCAAGCCGTATAAGCCTGCCTGCGGCCACGAGGATGGCTGTGAGTCTTGCCCCGGTACCTGCTCGGGCCTGGTCACAAACCCGGGGTGTTGGGGCTTCGGGTTTCTTGATTTCGGTCATGCGGTTCAAGGCGTCGTTTTTAAGGGACTGTAGAAGGCGGTGACGAATCTTATTTGGGGGGTTCTCATGGGGCCAGTAGTTCGCAGTTCTGCTAGGAGTCTTGGATAGGGCTGGGAATTCAAGGTCCCAAGCTGTTTGCGAGCTGTCGAGGAACAGTGCTGACAGTTTGCCAGGCCTGCTGCTTGTGGGGAATTGACAAAGTTACCAAACAGATTCCCATAATGAGTGAATGACTATAGCCCCCTAGCAACCTGGAAACATGTTCAATGTCGAAACCCCCGACCCCAAAACCTCACAAGTCTATACAGTAAGCTCTGCCTCGAACCCCACAGTCCATGGCTTTTTTCAATCCTTATTACGTTTATGCACCCCTAAACCCTAAACCTCTGAACCCTAAACCCTAAACCCCTAAACCCCTAAATCCCTAAACCCCTAAACCCCTAAACCCCTAAACCCTAAACCCGGATCACCCATCCATCTCCCCCTGCCTGACGCTTCGGATCCCGAGGCATGGCGGCGACGGGTGGCGCCAGGACCCCCGGCTCGAGGTCAGAAGCTGCATCGTTTAAACTCGCTTTAGGGTTTAGGGTTTAGGGTGTAAGGTTTAGGGTTTAGGGTTTAAGGTTTAGGGTTTAGGGTTTAGGGTCTTTGCCTCCTACATAGTTTAAGGTTTAGGGTTTATGTCATGACTTAATGTAGAAGCCTGAAGAATTGCCGGTATTCTTCCGATGCCTTAATACACTTGCTCCGAAATATGCCCCCAAAAAACCACATTAGTTGAGACCGCTCTTGATCGGACTGAGCTGTAGGTTCCGTGCCTCGCAGAAACCCTGATCGCAAATCAACAGTAGCACTGATGGCAGGGCACTCATCGGTGCATTTTGCTATAGCTACGAGCTAAGAATCCCAGACAGTTTGCGGTTGTGGCCCACGCTTTTGGAATGTGGTCTGCACAAGCTTTTGCTCACGGCTATCACAGTTGACAGCATTGCATCAACAGTCTCACCATTATCAACAACATCATTCCAGGCATCTTCTTTCTGAGAATCACTCTTATTGTCATGTAATCGTCATCATCACCCCCTGTCACATCGGCAGGAGAAGAAGAAGGCTCAGACATGATCACTGTCGAGATCCTCAGGATGATCTTCGTGTCGTGGCTCGGCTCGACTCTACTAAGTCTACTAGCTGCAGCTACAGCTTTGCTGTCTCTTCTCTTCTGGGTGATGAGATTTTGGTGGTGGCGGTGGTGCAAGGCGGGCAGCCTGCGCCAGAAGCCTTCGAAGCCCTGAATACACGCCCTTTGTCATCCTACCGGCAGAGGGCTTTCTCCCAATGTCGACGGTATCCTTGCTCTACGCGACTCGACGCCCGCCCCGCTGCAGCCTCGGGTTGGCCAAGCATCTGAAATCTTAGGGGAACTCTGTTGCTACATATCCGGGCAGGATGCTGAACCAAGTAGACCAGACTCACCATATATCATAAAACACCATACTATACCGTTATCGTGACCGCTACCGTCACCGTTATCATTGCCATGACCATGACCATGATCCAGTAACCACATTACATGAGATTGAACTACACTGCATTGCAGCACAATACATAGCATTATGTTACACCGCATTGTACTGCAGTAGTAACCTTACATGTAGGCAACTCTCCCAGCATTGAACAAAGGCTAAAGGACAGACTACTATTGGAAACCTTGTACGGTGTATGTGTGCATATATATATATATGTATATATATTATATGTAGATACATATTACATGCACCTATGTATACAGATACATGTAATGTTACACACACGTACACACACAATATCTATACATACATACACACATACACACATACACACATACATACATACATACATACATACATACATACATACATAAAGTTCGTGTGTGTGTGTATATATATATATACATCTTGGCCTTATGCTACGGCATCAGGCCGTCTTGGCAGAATTCGGGCGATAAGGCTCCGACGAGGAGCATGTCAAGGACAGGCTCCCTGAGGACAAGCCGTGAGGACTCAGCCGCAACTATCTTCCGTAAAGCGGGGCCAATGGCAGAAAAGTTAGAGCTTTTCAGGGGGCTCGTTTGTTCTCGTCGGGACTTTGTGTAGGGGGTGGGTCTTCCGTTTCGGCGGAGTTCGAGTTCAGAATGCCGGAGGATGAGGAAACGAGCAGGTGGAGAACATTAGCAATGCACCGCGGCAACACAAAACAATGCTCGGATGCTATGTCGATGGAATCCGGGCATCCACGTGGGGGGGGGGGGGGGGGGGG